AAGGGTAAGGTATTGACTCTTGCTTTGACAAACGTCTCACTCGCACTAGTCCATCCTGGCAATTTCAAAACTACCCACAAAGCAAAAAAGTTTAAAAGTTACAACTTTGCAACAACATAAGTAAAAATCAGGAGGAATCTGCATTCCCTGATGAAGCTGTTATTCTCTTTACCAGCTGGTTGCAGTAATGCACTTAGAGGTTGTTTGCCAATCAGTTTTGAACTAGAAGAAGACAAAAAGCACAAGCAATGATGGAAAATCTTGGACGAAATGTCGTTTTCAGTGATGCAAAAACAATCCAAAAATGAGTAAACTTGTCTTAGAAAAAGTGTATTCAGCCTTAATTTGAGTAGGTTAATAATGATATAGCAAAGAAATTTGCATTTTTAACCTAGAAAATAGATATTTAAACATTATGGACTTGAAATATGAGACTGCAGTTGTTTTTTTTCTTAGTTTAAATGTAAATGGTCTTGGTCCAATGACAAAATCTCCCATTTACCTGTTAACTTCAAGAAAAAACGCACTTATTTTAAGATGGATTTGTTTTTGTCTTCGACCTCTTTTCATTTAAAGGCTTTTGGCGAAAAACGCTCAGGATTATAACCGCCTCGTCGGGAGTGAATTCGTATTTGTAAATTTCAAAAGTTGTAACTTGTCCTTACTTCTAAGCTTTTATTTTCAGAGATGAAACTACTGATATCGTGTATTTTTTACTTTTTATTTTTACATTTCTTCCCATTTGACTGATTTTACAAATTCAGAGCCCTGACCCATTGTTAGTTATCTTAGACCATGGAAACCTTTCCTGTATTTTGTACGGCTGTGCTGCACGTCCTCAACCAAACGGACCCTAAATGAGCCTTCCAGTCTGGCTTGAATTGAAAGTTTCACTCCTTATATCAGAGGTCAAATAACCTCACTCAGCAGTCGCAGCTGTTGTTTATCTTTGCTAACTGCTGTTTTTTCTCTTCAACACAAAGTTGTGATAAATGTCAAAGCAAAGCAGGGTTTCCTGTAGGACTCGGCTAACAGGCGTTCATGCGCATCTTAAGCAGAACTATAATGAAATAATGCTTAAATTTGTAGCTGAAAGTAAACCTTACTTTACAAAAAAATTTATGATTTTATTTTTTATTGACATTGCCTGAATCCACTCTATATACATTAATCTTAGCAACAGCAAAAATAGACAACAAAGACGCAATTATGAGGTGAATAAATGATTCAAGCTATTTGATAATTTAAGTTTATTTAAGAGTAAAAGTTTTAGAGAAAAGAAGATACTTAAAAAGGAAGTTAATGTTATATTTAGAGCTGAAACAGTTAATTGGATTACTGAAATGATCGTCAACTAGTTTAGTAATCGATTAATCGTTAACAAAAGGAACTAGACCAAAAAAAAAAGAAAAGAGAGAAACACTTAGAAAAAGAAGACTAACAAGAAAATAACAAAACAAAAAAACATTCAAAGGACAAAAAATAATGATAGGAAATTAAACCAGGCAAAAAAAAAAAAAAAAAACATTTGAGGAAATAAAACAAAAGAAAACGAAAAAAAAAAAAAAAAGAGGACTAAAAATAAATAAAAAAAAAAAATATATTTTAACACAAAATGAAAAAAATTAATATACTCAGCCACAAACTCGATAAAATAAAGGCACTCAGTACAGCCTAAAGACTCAATACAACAATAAACAATGACCAAGTAAGAAGACAGTTAACGCAAAAATCAATAAATGAAAAATAAGACGAATAATCCAACAACCTAAAAATATAGAACATAAAAAATAACAAAAAAAAATACTAATTTCCATCTGTCAATATGCTCTATCAATAAATCAAGTGGAAAAGTTTTAGTGTCACATTCACCTGGTTTAAAATAATACAAAAATCTCCTTTAAGGAGCCTTTGGCTATCCGATTATTAATCGCTTAATCGAAAAAATAATCAACAGATTAATCGAATTGCTAAATAATCATCAGTTGCATCCCTAATTTAGATATTCATAACCCAGGGCAGAATCATCGGCAGCTTATTGGCACTATACATTAGCTAAGGGAAAACAGAGAAGGCTTCTTCCCTGTTCTCTTTGCTAAAGGCTTCAGAAAAGTCCCCAAGTTTAGCAACAAAGTCACTAATATGGCAGCACTGTGCTGTTGTCTGCAGATATTCCTCACAGCGGCGCACTGGAGTCCCCATTAATCTACATACACCAGCCGGCTTCATAGAAAGACAGAAGCTGAGTTTTCTTTTTTTTTTTTTTTTTTATAAATAAGTTTGTAGATATGCATTATGCTTTACATTAGTGGCTGTGGCTGAAGCTCTAAAAAAGTAATCCAGCTTGATTGTTCTGGAATCGCCTTCTTAAAGTTCAGATACTGAGAGCAGTGGACATTGAGTTTAAGGCTGCTTCCCACTGACAGGTCAGAGAGTTCAGTCTGTTTTCTGCAGACATGCTGCAGATTTTCTGCAGGAGGAACTCTGCTCAGCTCTATCAGGGTGTCTGAGCTTTGCAGGTTCAGCTTTCTGGATGCTGACAGGTTCTTGGACTGAGTGTGAGCCGGCGCAGCGGGAGGATCCAGGGAGGGAGGAGGCGTGACGGAGGGGAAACCCTGCAGTTCACCCCCTCCCCCTCCTGCTGCTCTGACGCACCGTTAAAGGCATCAGATCGTCTCCATGCTGCGATCCCAGCTGTCATTGGCTGATCCTCAGAAGGACCCTGCAGTGTGGGCTGAGCTGATTGGCCGCGCCGGGCTGCAGTGAGGATGCAGCTTTCTGGAGGATGACTGTGCTGCGTTTCACCGGCTGCTGATGCTGAATCAGTTCGTCTCTCTGGATTGGATATTCCTGAGCACAGCTGCTGGAATCGATGAACGCAGGACACCCAGGAGTTCTGGTGCAGCCGGGAACATTTTGTCTCTTCCTTCCTGCTGAGGAGGAACTCTATCAGGTTTTGGGCTGTAAATGAAAACGATGCTGCAGGAGGTTCTGATCTGGACATCAGAGACAAACTGAACTCCAGCTGGTCTTCTTCACTCCTTCTGTTGGACTGGGAGCTGCTTTCAGGATGCTCCAGGACTTCCTGACTTTCCTCAGCCGATCAGTCTTCGGCGGGGCTCACAGCGAGCCTGCTGGGAACCAGTCTGCAGATGACCAACAGTCTGAGGAGGCTGGAAGCTGTGAGATGCTCCAGGTTGTTCTCCAGAGAAAAACTTTCAACCCGCCCAGCAGTGAGGATTCTGCTCCCAAGAAAACCCGGATTTTAATCCTAACAGCGGTGCCTCCAGATCTACAGAAGGTACAGTAACACCTCGGGATACCTGGAGCTCCTCTGGAGGTCCGCTCTCTGACCCGGGGGAACGGTCCTGAGAAAAGAGCTGACTGAGGATCCAACTTTAAAATAGTCTAATCATTATGGAGCCTCAGAGGGGACTGAAGATTTGAATTTACCATTAAATAATTAAATGTACTGTTTTAATGAAAACATTGAATAATTCAATGTATGCCTGCTGCTACTTTTAGCAATCAATTAATATATTGATTTTTTTATAAACTCATCAAAATAAGAAGCAAATTAAATTTCTAAAGAAACAAGTTAGACATTTTTAATATAAATGCTGAAAACTTGTAAAGTAAATATACTTGCCTATGCATGTATGTACTAATAAGATTTTTTATTTTACATTTACAAATGTTACTTTTTCTCTGAGTTTTGTCTTAATTACTGCTCTAAGTGGTTTGTTTTTGCCTGTGATCATTACTTTAGGTAGCAATCTAATTCCTAAATTAGTTTTACATTTGTTTAAAAACATTTTTTTTACAATTAATTGTCTCAGCCAAAATTAAATGTCAGTTATTATAATATATTCATTTAAATACACATATGATTTCTCACTCTATTTATTTATTTCATGGCATGTGCCCAGCAGATTCATATAATAATGAACTATAGACCCCACCCTTCAAGCTCGGTGGGCGGGGTTAGTTGTCTCCTATAGAACCCTGATTTCTGATTGGATGCTTCACACATTAAGACAAGAAACACACAGGCTGTGTTTGAACCCAGCGGCTGCATCCTCGGACGGACTCGACCCACCTGGACTGGAGTTCGGTTTTAGATTCAAATCCGTCCAGCTGTCACCGCCCCTCACATGTCGCCTAGCAACCTCGACAGTTGATGCACAAAGCTGCAAAGAATGGATGCCGAACTCCTCACTACTGTTCTGTGTGTTCATTTCATTGTTGAGGAGCTTCAGCAGCAGTACCGTCATCTCAGATATCAGATTTATAGTCCCAATACTGCAGAGATTTTGGAATCTGTGCTTCAACGTCAGCCAAACCCATTTAGACAGAGACAGACAAAACCTTCCAATAAACCGCAACTTATCTGAAACTATTCACATACTTCGTATTATCTTAACCTGCGCTTAAAAAAATCGCTGTTCTGCGCCATTTACCTTTTTCCTCTAAGCACGGAGCAGCCGGCTCGCTTCAACCTGCAATGAATTATGGGATACGGTAGTCCATGAATGATACACCTGACCTGTCCTTGGATGAAAAAAAAGGCCGCATACGGGGGAGCCCTGTGAATCCGAACAGACTTTGGCGCCGCGCTATGATGTAAACAGCCCAAAGAACCTGACCTTTGGAGGATGCAGTTGGTGGATTCGGACCCATCGACTGTCTTATGGTGATTTGCATAGAGGAGGGCAGTCAGTGAGGATGTAACATGTTGCTGAAGGAAGCTGGAACCAAAGCTATGACTTGTGGATTGGAAAAAGACTTCTATCTTCACCGAGTCCTGAGCAACCCTTGCTTTTAAAAAGTTTCCCTCTAATGAAATCCAGCTGATTGAGTCTTTAAGGTTTACAGAAATCTATCTTAATAGGCAAGCATGTGGTGATAGTGGGGAGGAAGAACAGCCTGTCTGCAACAACACGTCTTCAGACTGTTTCCAGTCGCCTCTTATTCTCCTTTTCTGTCTCTGATCTTTTCAGAAAATAGTCAAAGCAGGAGATAAAGACCAGGACGGGCAGCTGGACTTCGAAGAGTTCGTTCATTACCTCAGAGACCACGAGAAGAAACTGCGGCTGGTCTTCAAGAGCCTGGACAAGAAGAACGACGGTGAGGAGCACGCTGAGGTTCTCACACTGATCCAGAATTTCCCAGAGTTTCCTCCGTCTGGGAGCAGACGGCTTCAGTTTGGGTCGGTGGAGAGCTTTGCTTGACTCTGCTGAGGCAGCGATCAGGAACGCCCGCTGACCTTTGACCCCGTCCGTGTGTTTCAGGCAGGATCGATTCGCAGGAGATCATGCAGTCCCTGCGGGACCTGGGCATAAACATCTCTGAGGAACAGGCTGAGGAGATTCTGAGAAGGTGAGGACCCATTGATTAGCAGTCAGAAAGGGTTCTGAAGTTGATCCTTCTGAGGTCTTGCAAGAATGGTACTTAAATGCAGCGTTTCCAAATGTTACTCTGAAAGCTCAGAAAGATCAGAATCATCTGAGACCTAAACGAGATTAGGTCAAGGATCAAAGGTTTTAATACTGGAATCAAATAAGTAAATATTTCTATATCTGATCCTGCAAATCACATTCCTATCGAACCTATTGTACCTGTGCATCCGTTTCCACAGCAGCTTAACAGCTGACCAATCAGATTGCAGATAGCAGCACAGGTCCCGCCTACTAAATTATATCACAACGCAAGATTAAGAAATACATCAAAAATTCAACCAGCAGTAAGTTATTTATTTTGATGAACGAATAAAGAAACAGATTTAGAACTAATTTATTTCCTCATTTATTTAACTTTATGTTTAATAAGTAATGTGTTGGTTGTTTGCTTTTTACTTTCTGGATTTCAGTTTTGTATTTTGTGTTTAATTGATTACTCAATTTATGTGCTATTTTTTTAAGGTGTTAATCTTCCCAACCATTAAGTGAAACAAAGTCGCTCGCCAGCTTTCCTTCTGTACCGTTTGCCAGCTGTCAGGTCCGCTGATGCTAATGCTAACTAAATATTTAGCTTACAAGTTCAGAGGATAAGCAGTTATCTCTGTGTGGCTTCTGAGCACTAAGGCTCAAAAGTTTGACTGATGTTCTTTTAAGTTTTGTTTCCTTTCTTTTTATTTGTTTCTTTGGCTTTAATCTGAGAACTTTTTTCTCAGAATTCTGACTTTTTTTTCAAAATTCTGACTTTAATCTCAGAATTTTGGATCTTAATGTAGATGGGCACCATGAAGGAAGAGATGTGGGAGCACTCAGCTTCACTGACAAAGATGTGAGTTGTTTGAGGTGGCCAGTGACACATTGGTGGAAAATGACGGAATTAGGCAACTTTTTACGTCCCTGAGGGGTCCCCTCATTAATGGAGGAGCAGAAGGTCATTAAAACAAGAGAGCTAGTCTCCAAAACAGACATGGCTATGGCTTGATGCTAACATGTTTGTTAGCTGTCAGAATTCTAAGAACAAAGTCAGAATTTTGAGAAAAAAGTCAGAATTTTGAGATTAAAGTCAGAATTCTGAGAAAAAAGTCAGAATATTTTTTTCCCATATTGAAATAAATAAAAACTGATTTTTAAATTTTATTTCAGTTTAATATGGGGGGAAAAAGTCAGAATTCTGAGAAAAAAGTCAGAATTCTGAGATTAAAGTCAGAATTCCTAGAAAAAAGTCTGAAATCTGACTTTTTTCCCATGTTAAACTGAAATAAAATTTAAAAATCAGTTACCTTTTTTTTTCAGTGGCCCTAATCCTCTTCCGTAGAAATGTATACTCTTATTCTGCATTGATCTCAGAATCTCTTTTTATTTCAACAGTCTAATAATTCATCAAGAAAATAATCTTGTCTTAAGAAAACATAAATATCGTACAGTATGTGCGACTAAAACGTTCATCCCCTGCTGGACAAGTCTGTAACTACATGTAGTTTTAAAGAACAAAAGCATGTTTTTAAGCTGCGGCTCCAGGAAACTGAGCAGAAGGTCCATCAGGCTGAGTCTGATCAGGGAGCTGGATTTATTAGTCAGAACGGTTTGAACTTTTAAAGCCGCAGATCGGCACAGTGACGGACCCAGACATAAATCATCCCACCTGTTATCCCTACAGTCTGATTTTAAAGTTGAATCTTTAGCAGCTTCAGGTTTTAAAGGACGGGGCTCCCTGCTTTGATCAGATCTCACAGCTCCTGTTCCTCCTGACCATTAAATGTTCTGATCCGTCACTGATGAACGATGTTCAGCAGAGCGGAGGATCTGAAAGGCTCTCCAGGCTCTCAGCTGTTTGCTCTGTTTTTACTGAGTCAACTGAAGCCAATCAGCCAGAACATTATGACCACCTAACCGACATTAGATAAACCTCACACACCGTCCGTTATCAGACCTCGGGAACCGTTACCAGGACAACGGGATCCATTTAAATATAGACTCACTTACACCCAAATAATCTTTATCAGATCCAAATCCCAGAGAGTTTATACCTGAACCCCTTCAGTTCTGTTTGATCACATACTTGAACACTTTTATCATCCAGCAAAAGAAAAAGATTATTTTCCAGCTAGAAAGGTTGATGGATCCAAACTCAGTCTCGTTTACATTTTTACTACACTGCACCTTAACCCTCTGGTCCACTGAAAGGTTAAGCTCCTTCCCAGCTGATCACAGCAGCTCCAGTCTGTCAGAGCGACTCCATCTGAAGCTTCCAAGATACGAAGCAATCGCTGCTTCTCTGAATTTGTGGATGCTATTTTTTTTTTTTTTTTCCACCTGCGCCTAACGCAGTGTTTAAAAGTTTAAAAGTAGACTACATGAACAGACCATGGATCCACTTTCACTCCGAAGCAAAAACCCCTCTGGACTTTAATGCAACAATACATTTTTCTTGTACAGTTAATCAACAGACATAATAATTATGAGCACAAAATTATAAAAATAACAGAAAACCATTATTTGAACACAGTTATTTATGATGGATCCGAGGTAAACAAGGTGTATCGATAATGAGCAATCACACGAGATGAGTAGTACTGTCCAAACAACCGTACTACTGGTTAACTGTTCTATTTAAAGCCTACAAGTACACTATAGTACTACAGCAATCCTCACCTGATCCGAGTCCAGCCAGGCTAAGCCTCTCTGACTGCTCTCTTTTTTTTTATTTGATCCTATAAATATATATAGTGAGTGGCAATATATCGTGATATACATTAATATAAAATTTTATGAAATACATAAAGATCAGATTATTTAACTAAAACATGACTCAAATATTTGATATACTATGAAACTATAAAACCATCATTCATAAATATTAAAGAGACCATTATTAATATGAACAGTTTATTGATGTTGGCTAATCATTTGAATAATTTCTAAACTGAATCTAAACCATTTATAAAAGCTAAATTGACTGTTTATTAAGGTCTTAAAGGAATAGTACACCCAAAACATGATTAGCCTTCATTTTCTACTCACCCCCATGCTGAACAACACTCTGGAGTACTTTTTTGATATCTCAAATGCATCTGGAGATCTGGGAGGCTTCTTGCTGTCTGCTGACATTCAAATAATGGAGGTCTATGGCGCCCGAGGCAGAAAGGTCCATAAAAGTCCACAAAAAACGTGTCAATATTCCTCCATACTGCTCGTCCAATGTATTCCAAGTTTCCTGAGTGGGTAGCGTCCAGAATTTACTCGAAACGAAGTCATTTAGAATGTTTTTAGAGCATAAACAGTAGTGTATAGGATTTCCTAAATGCGCGTTCACGAGTCTACGGAAACCGCGGCAGACCAAACCAGATGAAAGTGCACTTTAGATGAATGACTGTTTAGGTGCCACTGGTAGTAGCACTGTATCGATACTTTTAAAAATGAGTATTGTATCCGGATACGTTTCAGTATCGATACTTTTTTGAGTATCAATACTTTTGTACTTTTGACAACCCTACTAATGGTAACAGTGTCAAATTTAACTTTGCATCATCTTGAAAAACTATTTATTTTGGTACGTTGTGAGCAACAAGTTGGGGCAGCACCGAGTCCAACCACAAAGAAATTAAATTATCTGGATGAAATAAATTGTTTTGATGGTTTTTATTTTTTTTCAATGCCAACAGGCCATAACGAAAATAAGCTCAAATAAAACAAAACTTGTAGAAGCCAATATGTACAAACCCTATAAAAGAGAGGAAATGATGTGTGTATGGGCGTGTTCCTAAAAAAAGATAATCGGTTTTGACAGCTTGGCCGGGAAAAGCTGTCAACCCACAACTGGCCCTTTGTGTAATTTTTTTTTTTTCTGTTTGTGTGAGAAAAAACAGCTTTTAACTGCAAGAACATCGTCTGGACATTTCCTGTTTACCATCTCACCCCGGCGAATTTGCGTCAACCATAAGATCCCGGTTTAAAAACACTCCAGTGGCTTTAAGCGTCGGCTTAGCCACAACAAAACTTATGAGTCTATTTTTAAACTGTAAAGAGTAGAAAGTAGAGATAATCGCAAAAAATAGAAAGAGTAGAAGTAAAAAGTTGTCTAAAATATAATTACTCCATTAGCCAAAATGTCTACTAAAATAAGGTAATTAAGTATTTGTACTTTGTTACTTGACACCTATGCATGTGGAACGATTCCTACATTCGTTTTTAGCTGAATGAGGCCCGCTGGGTCGGGTGGACAGTCCAGTGGGTCATCGTCAGGCCATATGTGTGTCACGTCCCACCAGGGGACAGTTGAACTGTTACAGCTGTTTCTTCTCTGTGTGTCTAACCCTGTGTCTGTCTGTCCTGTTTGTTTGGGCTGCCTCAGAATAAGGGCGGGGTTTATCTGGACCCCGGTCCTGTAGTAAGTAGCAGCTTCCTTGGTCTGCCTGTCGAGCTCCTGCTGCACAAACTGCTGCTGCCTGTTGTTGTTACAAGCTGCTTCTTATGCTTTTTTTTTGTTTTCTGCCGATAATCTCTGATAAATCAGAGAGCCCGAGCTTCTTCGCTGTGAGTTTTTAGCATGGCGTTCCCATCAGGCCGCAGCTTTGGGAACGTCCCAGCCGTGCATGTCGACAGGAACCTTTCTGTTCCGTTTTCCACCAAACCGTCACCTATTTCTTCTCCTTCCTCCTGCAGCATGGATAAAAATGGCACCATGACCATCGACTGGGACGAGTGGAGAGATTATCACCTGCTGCATCCTGCGGACAACATTCCTGAAATCATCCTGTACTGGAAACACTCCACGGTAACCTAAATGTTTCTCCCCTGCTAACCTGATAGGAGGTCTCAGCTACTGTTCTGCCTTTGGGTCGTGGTTCCTGTTGGGACTGCAGCCGTCTGAACATGCCGGCTCCTTCCACAGATCCTGGACGTTGGTGAGAGTATAATCGTCCCTGATGAGTTCACAGCAGAGGAGAAGAAAACGGGCATGTGGTGGCGGCACCTGGTGGCTGGTGGTGGAGCGGGAGCCGTGTCCCGGACCTGTACGGCGCCTCTCGACAGGCTTAAAGTTCTGATGCAGGTAAAACATGACCCAGAATCTGCATCACTGTCACCGGAGTGAGCAACTGAATCTAAACCAACCATTTCTACTCAGGTTCACGCCTCCAAAAGCAACAGCATGCGCATCGCCGGCGGGTTCCTCCAGATGGTCAGAGAGGGCGGGGTGAGGTCGCTATGGAGAGGAAACGGAATCAACGTGATCAAAATCGCTCCGGAGTCTGCCATCAAGTTCATGGCGTACGAGCAGGTCAGAACGCAGGTCCGAGTCTCCCGGAACTGACCCGGTTTGTTCCCGCTGAGTGACGTCTGATCCGCTGTCCGGCAGATAAAACGGCTCATCGGAAGCAACCAGGAGACGCTGGGAATGACGGAGAGGTTTGTGTCCGGCTCTCTGGCTGGAGCCATCGCTCAGAGCAGCATCTACCCCATGGAGGTGAGGAGCTGTCGTCCATCTCAAAGGCCAGAACACACCGAGTTTGAGTCCGATCCGACAGAAAATAGTGTCTGACAACGTTGTGACATTTAGTGCTTATTGAAAGTCAGTCGGGTTGATCACATCGACACCA